AGATCACAGCTACACCAGTGGAAGGACACAACTGTGGCAGAGATGTACCTGTTTTTTGCCACAATAATGCTTATGCCACATGTGTATAAGCACACTGTCACCACATATGGGTCAACAGAATGCCTGATTTCAACCCCAGGTTTTAGTGACATTATAGGTGTGAATCATTTTTTGATACTGTTACGTATGTTACGCTTTTCAGACAAAACCAGGCCTAACAGAAGCGACAGGTTATATAAGATCAGAAATGTGTTTATGTACCTGAAACAAAGTGCTGCATGTATTTTTATCCCTTCAGGAAGCTTGTTATTGACAAGTTTTTTATTTTATTCAAAGGAAGACTCTCATTCAAGCAATACATACCAAGCAAGAGGAAATGCTTTGGTATAAAGTTATTTGTACTCTGTGATTGCAAAAGTGGTCTCGTTTTGGATATCATTGTGTACATTGGCAGTAATACATTGAGAGATACCAGGAAGTTATTGGGTATCTCTGGTGATGTGGTTCGAACAATGATGGAACCATATCTTGATAACTGGTACACAAGCCCCATACTCAGTGATTTCTTGCGAGTGAACCTAACAGACGTGTGTGGCACAGTGCATGGTAATTGTAAACATATGCCAAGGTTCAACGCTGGTACTCGCAGAGGTGAGGTGCAGGCCTTTGCTGCCAATGATATCATGGCATTTCAGTGGCATGACAAACGTGATGCCACATTGTTGACATCAGTTCACTGAAATGAAATGGCACACACTGGCAGGCACAATAGAGAGACCAGTGAACCCATTCTAAAACCTGCAGCTGTCATGGACTACAACCTCAATATGCACTTAGTGGACAAATGTGACATGCAGATTGGGTTTGCAGACTGTGTACGCAAGAGTTATAAGTGGTATATAAAACTTTTTTTCCGTCTTCTTGATATTCCCATGCTAAATGCTTATAACATATACAAGTTGAGGACCAACAACAAACCAAAATGTGGTGAATTTTGTTTGTCAGTCATCAGACAAATAATCGCCAAGTACCAAGGAGCAACACCTGCAATAGACCAGCGCCCACTAAATTACCAACACACACCATCTCGTTCGAGGCCTGGTGATCACTACCCCATACAACTGCCTCCTACTGCTTTCAAGAAAAGTGCTCAGAAGAGGTGTTTTTTTATGTGGACATACCATAAAATGCCCACAAACACACAAAGACACTCGTTTTATGTGTGAGGAGTGTCAAGTGCCACTCTGCATATACCCATGTTTCAAAGAGTTCCACAAGCTGCAGCAGTTCTAGGAAAGTGTTCAGTGACTGTACATCTATATATATATATTATGGAACAATAGTAATAGTTAGTTAGTTTAATATGTTTATTATGCACTCCATACCCATCCTGTGGGGAACAATAGTAATAAACAATGTTTTGTATTGTTTGTGTAAACAAGTTTAATACACAATCTAATAGTGATAATGTTTGTTTAGTTATTGTGTTGTAAACAATGAGTGTGTATTTGAACAATGCGCCTTACATTGGTCTCACAGGCCACATAAGTTACTTAGAAAAGAAAAATATTGGAAAATACAAGAAACCTTTGAATTGGAGCAAATAAATGAATACCGTGTGGGCGGCATTCGCTGCTGTTGCCATATGCCACTCATTTTCTGCCAACTTTGTGCCTCTGTATCTCGGTAAGTACTGATGGCAAAATTTTTTTTTTAGGCTTAAAACACTCGGTAAAATGAACCTAACATTTTGGTAAGAATTTTTTTTGTTTTTTCGAATATTTTGCGACATAGAATGACAGTTTCAGAAAGGGGCCTGCGACAATCAAAGGGTTAAAAATTAAATTGTAAGGAGTGTCTTCTCTGTAACCTGAGTAAGCTTTTTGTATTAAGACTTTTACTGGAGCCTCAGCTTCACAAGGACATGTTCCAGTGCCAGGTTTATTCCTGCTGTATACATGTGATGTGTGTGTGTCTGGATGGTGTCATGTGAATATTTGTAAATGTACTGTCGATATTGTTATACCTTTTATGAATTTTAATAAAAAACAACTATTGTTCAAAGATATTATTGATTTGTGGACTGTAGGTAGTAGGTTTGTAGACACCATCCAGCCAGGTGGAAACTACCATCTTTTCATGTATTTATTGTCATGCACTGTGGCAGACCTGGTGGTCTGTTTTTTTCTGTGTCATGAACACACAAAACGACAAGAAAATCTTACAAGCTTCTACTTGCATTCACTATATTCTTTTCTTCACTTTACTGTATTTTTCAAGATTCCTTACCTCTGTAGTGTTTCCTTTCCAGTTTAAGAGAGCTGGTCTGAGACAGTTGTCCATGATTTCCAGGAGCATTAGCAGATATACAGATAAATTAGCCTGTATGGCAAATAAATTGGCAGGTTCATTGGTTTACTGATTTTTTTTTTTTTTTTTTTTTTTTTTATACCTGAGACTCATGTATAACCCTGCCTGTGATTCTTTCCTTATGTCCATATGCTCACTCTTGACTCTTCTACATCTCTCCCTCTGCCATCACACCCTCATTTACAAAGGATAATAAACATAATTAATGTGAGAAATACAGTGCTGCACTCTAAAGGAGGGGTTTGGCATTTGTTCAAAATATGCATGAAAGGTAGGAGGGTACTTAAGGATTGTCAGAGAGCATGCATGGTTCCTTAGTATAAGGAAAAAAAGGAGATAAAAGTAGGTACATACAAGAATTATAGGGGAATAATGTTGAATGTAGTAATTATTGAAAGAATTAAGGGTAAGACAGAAAGTAGGATTGGTGAGGAGCAGAGAGGATTCAGGAAGGGTAGGGGATGTATATATTAAGTATTTACTTTGAAGCATGTAAGTGAACAATGAATTCTAAGATATTTTATAGTGAAAGTAGGACTTAGACAAAGGAATGCATGATGTCACTATGATTTGTTAACAATTTTATAGATGTGGATGTTGAAATGAATTCTAAAGTGTTGGAAAGAAGTTTGGAATTAAGAGATGTTGGATCCAATTCAAAGTGGCAGTTATCACAGTTACTCTTTACCATAGACAGTTCTTTTGGGGATTCTGAAGATAATTTGCAAAGGATGGTGGATGAATTTGGGAGGGTATGTGAAAGTAGGAAAAACTAAACATAGAAAAGAACAAATTTAAGCAGTGATAGATTGAATATTAGATTGGAGAGAGGGAGTATGGAGGAAATGGATGTATTTAAAAATCTGAGAATGGACATGTCAACAGATTGGTCTGTGAAAAATGAGGTGAACCATGAAATTGACAAAACACAAATAACCCGCACATAGAAGAGAGAAGCTTACGACGACATTTCGGTCTGACTTGGACCATTTACAAAGTCATGGTGTGACTTTGTAAATGGTCCAAGTCGGACCGAAATGTCGTCGTAAGCTTCTCTCTTCTATGTGCGGGTTATTTGTGTATCGTTCCAGTCTCAGTATTGTGCCTTTTTTTGTTATTAAATTGACAAAGGAACAAAAAAAAAAAAAAAAGTGGGTGGTACAATGAAGCATTTCTTGAGGCAAAAAAGTTTATTCATGGAGGCAAAAAAAGAGAATGTATCAGAGAAAAGTGGTACCAATGCTTTTATTTGGGTGTGAGGCATGGGAATCAAGAGCTGCATCAAGGAGGAGGCTAGAGGCAGTGGAGATGTCATGGTTGAGAGCAGTGTGTGTTGCTAATTTGGTAAATAGAAATTAAAAGGTGATTTTGACTCGCTCAGAGTATACTTCAAGAGGGCTGAGAAGGAATAGTTAAGGTGGTTTGAGCATGTAGAGAATATGAAGAGGGATAGGTTGAAGAGAATGCATTTATCTAATGGAAGGTAGGAGGGGTACTAGTTGTCCTGGGAATGGTTAGAGGAAGGGGGTAAAAGAGACTTTGAGTTTTTAGGGTTTAAGCATCCAGCATGCCTGAGTGAACATGCTAGATAGGAGTGAGTGTAGAAAAGTGATTTTAAAACAGACATGTTGTTGAAGTGTGAGCAAAATAACTTCTGTGAAGGGATTTTAAGAAACTGGGTAGTTGGATTTGAGTCGCAGAGGTGGGAAGGACAATGCCTTCAATCTGAAGGAGGAGGCAGTGAGGATGTTGCTGTTGGAGGGTTCTCTGAATTGTGATGTCAGCACACTTCTGGCAAGACAGCAGTTGATGATGATGAATATGTTTTCTTTAGATCATCCTGCGTTGGTGGAAGACAACAATTGAAAAAAAAGTTGCCAAAAGAGATTATAATGTGATAGCACATTCAATGAAGTGTTTGGGTGTAATGAGAGAAGTAGGCAAATGGATATTAAATTTTACAGTGAATAAAACACAGGAGTAATAGTAAACAAAGCAAAATCAAGTCTTAGTAAGATAAATTGCTTGGTTCCTCAAGACAAGGTTCTGGTGCCTTTACTGTGTTTTATCTTCATAATAGATAAGGGATACTCAAGCTGTAATATTAATAATAATAATAAATTTTATTTTCATAAAATTATAGGTATACATGTACATGTTAATTAAGGTTTATGGTAAAATGGTTAATGAAATGTAGGTAAGTGAATGAGTTAGGTTATTAATAGGCTGAAGATATAACACACAGCTCACTGTTTGTTCAGTTTTAGTAACCTTCTTTTTTTTATATAGAATTCCACTGAATTTAGTGAACCTTGTGCAGATTCTGTTTCTGATGAGTTGTCACATAGAATGCATTTCAACTTAGAGGAGACAGCTGCACAAGAGACCCATTACTGTGTTGTGCTGTCTGTTGTTCCTTTTGCAGGTTGCACCAGAATGTCCTTAAGTTATTGTTAGAACCACAACTTAGTGTCATTAATGTATTGTTAGAACTACAACTTAGTGTCCCATAGATGTAGATTATTCAGTGTATGAAGAGCTGTTGTGTCTCCTGCTCATTCCAAGGTTATATGTTGTTTTGAGTTTTAATATTCTTGAAAGACTTTATTCAGAGTATGTTGTCATTTCAGGTGGACAAGCAAACTAACAATCTCATCATCCTACTGTTCTTCTTGCTGATTGTTCTTTGCCTCATCATGGCTGTGTTTAACTCACAGTGGAATGCTAACCTGCACTGGTATCTCTCCCTTGATGGTATGTTCACTACAACCTTTCTTCCTTCTCTCGAATGTATGCCACTTTTAAAGTGTCTTCCTTCTCAGTTCATGACAGTGTTACTGCATGTCATTATAGCAGAAGAGTAGTGAAGACCAAAACACATCAAAACCAAAACCCAAAACCAAACATATTAATATCGAGACCAAATTAATAAGACGAAGATTGAGACCAATATACAGTGGAACCTCAAAAATCGAACTGCTCCCAACACAACCAATTATGTAAGTGTATTTTTGTAAGTGCTTTTATAAGTGTATTTTTGAGGGTCTGAAGTGGACTAATCTAATTTACATTATTCCTGATGGGAATAAATTCATTCGGTAAAGGCACTCGAACAGCCTTCTGGACTGAAGAAAGTTCGATATTTGAGGTTCACAGTGTATATTCATTGTGACTAACATTATAAACTAAATAATTTTTTTACAACAACAACGAGAATGCCAACAATAATAGCAGTAAGAATTATTTATTTATTTAAATCTATTTTTATTTGGATAAAATACTGTAAACACAGAATTAAGCAAGGGTAAATTTGTTATATTGACTCTTTCCAGCTACAACCAAGCAACTTAGGAATACACACCCTGAAAAGTTGTGCAGAAGCATTTACATAAAGTATTTATATATAATTAGAAAAATTAATAAAGTTGGTAGGTTGGTAGACAGCAACCACTCAGGAAGGTACTACCGTCTTATAAAGTGAGTGTAAAACAAAATCCTGTAATTGTTTTTACATGACGGTAGGATTGCTGGTGTCTTTTGTCTCTCTCATAAATATGCAAGATTACAGGTATGTCTTGCTACTTCTACTTAGGTCACACTACACATACATATACACGTTTATTTATACACACTCATCTGAGTTTTCTTTAATTTTATCTTAATAGTTCTGGTTCTTATTACTTTTCCTTTTATATCCATGGGGAAGTGGAATAAGAATCTTTCCTCCGTAAGCCATGCGTGTTGTAAAAGTCAACTAAAATGCCGGGAACAATGGGCTAGTAACCCCCTTTTTCCCGTAATAATTACTAAAAAGAATAAGAAGAAAATTGTCAAATGGGAAGTCTGAATGTGTGTGGACGTTGTGCAAATGATAAGAAAGAGATGATTGTGGATGTCATGAATCAGAAGCTGGATGTCCTGGCTTTAAGTGAAACAAAGCGAAGGGGTGGGAGAGTTTCAGTGGAGAGGAATAAATGGGATTAGGTCAGGGGTTTCAAATAGAGTTAGAGCTAAGAAGGAGTAGCAATAATGTTGATGGATAAGCTATGGCAGGTAAAGAGGGACTATAAATGTATTAATTCAAAGATTATGTGGAGTAAAATAAAGGTTGGATGTGAAAAGTGAGTTATAGTAAGCGTATATGCACCTGGAGAAGAGAGAATTGTAGAGGAGAGAGGGATTTTGGGAAATGTTGAGTGAATGCGTGGGGAGTTTTGAACCAAGTTTGAGAGTAATGGTGGTTGGGATTTCAATGCTAAAGTGGGTAAAAATGTTGTGGAGGGAGTAGTAGGTAAATTTGGGATGACAGGGTAAATGAAAATGGGGAGCCTTTAATTGAGCTATGTATAGAAAGAGGTTTGGTAATAAGTAATACATATTTTATGAAAAAGAGGATAAATAAATATACAAGGTATGATATAGCATGTAATGAAAGTAGTTTGTTAGATTATGTTTTGGGTGGATAAAAGGATGATGGGTAGGCTCCAGGATGTAAACTTGTATAGAGGGGCAACTGATACTTCAGATCATTATCTAGTTGTAGCTACAGTTAGAGTAAGAGGTAGATGGGACAAGAGGAAAATGGCAACAACAAATAAGATTGAGGTGAAAGTGTACAAACTAAGGGAGGAGGAAGTTCAGGTGAGATATAAGCAACTATTGGCAGAAGGTGGGCTGGTGCAAGTATGAATAGTGGGGGGGGAGTTTAAGAGGGTTGGAATAGTTTTCAAAATGCAGTAGTAGAATGTGAGGCAGAAGTTTTTGGTTATAGGAGGGTGGGTGCAGAGAAAAGAAGAGTGATTGGTGGAATGATGAAGTAAAGGGTGTAATATAAGAGAAAAAGGTAGCTTATGAGAGGTTTTACAAAGCAGAAGTGTTATAAGAAGAGTAGAGTATATGGAGAGTAAAGAAAGGTGAAGAGAGTGGTGAGAGAGTGCAAAAGGAGAGCAGATGATAGAGTGGGAGAGGCTCTGTCAAGAAATTTTAATGAAAATAAGAAAAAATTTGGAGTGAGTTAAACAGGTTAAGAAAGCCTAGGGAACGAATGGATTTGTCAGTTAAAAACAGAGTAGTAGATGGGAGATGGAGGTATTGGGTAGATGGCGAGAATATTTGAAGAACTTTTAAATGTCGATGAAGAAAGGGAGGCGGTAATTTCATGCACTGGCCAGGAGGTATAATATCTTTTAGGAGTGAAAAAGAGCAGGATGTGAGTGTGGGGGAGGTGCGTGAGGCATATACATAGAATGAAAGGGGTAAAGCAGCTGGAACTGATGGGATCATGACAGAAATGTTAAAAGCAGGGGGAGATATAGTGTTGGAGTGGTTCGTATTTTTGTTTAATAAATGTATGAAAGAGGGGAAGGTACCTGGGATTGGCAGAGAGTGTGTACAGTCTCTTTATATAAAGGGAAGGAGAACAAAAGAGATTATAAAAATTTAAAGGAATAAGTTTACTAAGTATACAGGAAAAGCGTACGGTAGGGTTGTTATTGAAAGAATTAGAGGTAAGACAGAATGTAGATTGCGGATGAGCAAGGAGGTTTTTAGAGTGGGTAGGGATGTGTGGATCAAGTGTTTACATTGAAGCATATATGTGAACAATATTTAGAAAAAGGTAGGGAAGTTTTTATGGCATTTATGGATTTAGAAAAGGCATATGTTAAGAGTGGATAGGGGAGCAATGTGGCAGATGTTGCAAGTATATGGAATAGGTGGTAAGTTGCTAAATGCTGTTAAGAGTTTTATGAGGATAGTGAGCCTCAGGTTAGAGTGTGTAGAAGATAGGGAGACTACTTCCCGGTAAAAGTAGGTCTTAGACATAGATGTGTAATGTCACCATGGTTGTTTAATATATTTATGGATGGGGTTGTAAAAGAAGTAAATGCTAGGGTGTTCTGGAGAGGGTGGGATTAAATTATGGGGAATCAAATACAAAATGGGAAGTGACACAGTTACTTTTTGCTGATGATACTGTGCTTATGGGAGAGACTAAAGAAAAATTGCAAAGGTTAGTGGACGAATTGGGAGTGTGTGTGAAGGTAGAAAGTTGAAAGTGAATAGAAAAGAGTAAAGTTATGAGGTTATCAAATAATTTAGATAAAGAAAAATTGGATGTCAAATTGGGGAGGAGAGTATGGAAGAAGTGAATGTTTTCATATATTGGAAGTTGACGTGTCAGCGGATGGATTTATGAGGATGAGGTTAATCATAGAATTGATGAAGTAAAAAAGGTGAGTGGTGCATTGAGGTATATGTGGAGACAAAAAATTTTATCTGTGGAGCAGAGAAGGAAATGTATGAAAGTATAGTAGTACCAACACTCTTATATGGGTGTGAAGCTTGGGTTGTAAATGCTGCAGCGAGGAGGCGGTTGGAGGCAGTGGAGATGTCCTGTCTAAGGCAGTGTGTGGTGTAAATATTATGCAGAAAATTCGGAGTGTGGAAATTAGGAGAAGGGGTGGAGTTAATAAAAGTATTAGTCAGAGGACTGAAGAGGGGTTGTTGAGGTGGTTTGGTCATTTAAAGAGAATGGATCAAAGTAGAATGACATGGAGAGCATATAAATCTGTAGGGGAAGGAAGGCGGGGTAGGGGTCGTCCTCGAAAAGGTTGGAGGGAGAGGGTAAAAGAGATTTTGTGGGTGAGGGACTTGGACTTACGGCAAGCATGCATGAGCGTGTTAGATAGGATTCAATGGAGACAAATGGTATTTGGGACCTGACGAGTTGTTGGAGTGTGAGCAGGGTAATATTTAGTGAAGAGATTCAGAGAAACCGGTTATTTTATATAGCCAGACTTGAGTCCTGGAAGTGGGAAGTACAATACCTGCACTTTAAAGGAGGGGGTTGGGATATTGGCATTTGGAGGTACATGTATATGTTGTGTGTCTTTATATGTATATACTTCTAAACTGTTGTATTCTGAGCACCTCTGCAAAAACAGTGATTATGTGTGAGTGAGGTGAAAGTGTTGAATGATGATGAAAGTATTTCTTTTTGGGGATTTTTTTTTCTTTTTGGGTCACCCTGCCTTGGTGGGAGACAACCGATGTGTTAAAAAAAAAAATTTAAAACTTAAAACTTGAATAGTTTAGTTATTCAGAATCTGCAGTTATTTTACCCCCTTTTATACTTCAGTTTGGAAGTTACCAATTAGTGAACCTTGCTCACTGCAGTGACCCTCCACTGACTAAGAAGAGTTGAAGTATATTGCTAGGAGACATGGTGATGGAGAGACACTATGATTCCTCAAAACTGAGCTTGTGATATAATCACAAGTGTTTTGTAGCATCTCAGAAACACCAGAGACAAGAGAAGCTGAGATGTCAGTTTTACTGATGTGGTGGCATGATCAGGACCTTCCTTGCTGAAGACTTCCTCAGGTGATGTTGAATGATGCAGAATACCTTCTCATGCAATGGACTGAATCTTGAAAAGAAACTATTTAGTTTTAAACCTCTCCAAAGATTTTTAAGTCATATAACTGGACCTTTTGTAATATAATTATGCAGCACCCCAGTGGTGCTGTTATATAAAAATGAATGTGAAGAGTAAAGAGGGGTGTATAATAGTAAAAGAGATGAAATAATTTTGAGAATTCTCACAAACAACTTATCTATATGTTTGACTGCTATCAAGGCCAAGACCTAATTTGCCCAGACCAAGACTGAGACCGAGACCTGGCATGCCAAGGCCAAAATCAAGATTGAGACTAAGACCTAAAATGTGGCATTATACCAAGAGTATACAAAAACCATGAGTATTAAACAAGTGCAACACCTTTGTATCTGTATTATGAAGATGCTTTGCCAGCCAGTGGCACATACTGAAGTCAGTGAAAGCGTGGTAATCAGCCCCTCGTGCTTGAAAAATGTTTTAGTGCTTTAGTGGCCTTGAGGCTGTCTTGAGCTTGAGACTAAATTTTGAGATTCCATCTCTGCACTATGGGAAAAAGTGTCTTCTCTCATTTTTTAATACTGATGTTTTGTGTAATGACAACTATGCTGTGTGTCATATAGGAAAAATTTTTAGATGATAGTTTAGGTTTTAGTCCATTTTGGGTTTTTGTACATATCATGTAGATGGTGAAACCCATTTTCTGCACATCACATCCCACACCATTCATTTTTCTTTGTTGCTATTACTGTTTATGATATTACATGTTGTATTAAGTAATCATCTTGTCAGTTTCAGATCTGAGTGTGTTCAACTTGGCATTAATTCATCACATTTATCATCCTCTTCAACAATCTTATTCCCATCTCTCCCCAAGTGTTCACTAGAATTTGAAGATTTATTCAGGTGAGTTCAAAGGTTTATCTTTATCCACAATTATTATTTTCACAGACTTTACAAAGCTTTGATTCCAGGGTTATTTCCATTTTCCCTGCCCGACCCGTTCTAGGGCCAGGCTTCCTGGTTAATGGTCTGATCACTCACATTGTTGATGCAGCAGGACAAGTCCATTGTAGGCATCACAGCCCAGGGGTTAAAGATCTACCTATAAAAATGTATCTTCTTCAGAGTGTGTTTGCAGAAGAGGACACTTTTGTTGAAATGGACCCCCTTAAAAGTTAATAACCAAAGAAGAAGTAAGGGAGCTATTGCTGAATAATTGATACATAAATACAGCATTACCCGACAGATTATCACCATGGGTATTAAAAAAATATGCCATACTGAGTTAATCTGTCCACTCATGTATTTTTGTTTAATTACAAATTTAAAATCTAGCTACCGAAATAAAAATAGCAACAGTGTGCCATTATTTGAAAACATGATAACCAAGACTATTTTAACTATAGACCGTCTCACTGACAAGGTTCTTTTAAAAATACTAAAAAAAGCCACTAGACAAAAATGGATAAAAAAATTATAGAACAGAAACTTGATTACCATTAAATATTGTAATTCAGTTTTCCCAATGAGCACAATTCCCTTGTATCAAATTTAGTAAGTAGCTCTAGGATAGTTGGAAAATATGTGAATTTTTGGGCAAATTTATGATTTTTTTCCTTAAATCACCAATTTTCACTTGTATAGTAGAAGGTTTTTAATTGAAATTGAGACATTTTTCTTTATATGGGAATCTTTTTTAAAGGAAAGTTTTTGCCAAGGGGCTTTTTTCAGTCTAATAAAAAGCAGAGAGGGGTAAGGAGGGAGGAGTTTGAGGTAATTAGCCCCTTACCCTAATCGATATTTTCAGTCCATCACTCATGAAGTACAGCATATGTAAAAAGTGGCTTTTACTGTAGACAGATAGTGGGAAACAGGGGAAGGTGGTTCACATGGAAACCCTCCACAGTTAAGTAGGGCTTCGTCCAAAGGTTGGGGAGTATTGAAAAATTCCTTTATAAAGTCAAACTTTCCTTAACCCTTTCAGGGTCGCAGGGCTCTCCTAAATTGTTTCAGGGGCAGAAATTTTTCAAAAAAAAAAAAAAAAAATTATTTTTTCTTGTGAAATGATAAGAGCTTTTTTCCCCATCAAATGACCAAAAGTAGAAATTTGATGGAAAACTTACGGGGGTTTCTCTCTGAAGTTAGCGGGCTCGACGTGTTTACCATCGACAAAATTTTTCCCCTTGAGCCCAAATTTTTGGCCAAACCAAGTACCAGTCGACAAAAAAACTACATATTTTGCAAGAACTCCATTTTTTTTATCGAATGGTACAAAAAATCACCCCTTTTCCCATTTCACATCCAATAAAAATGGGGAAAAATTGGCAATTTTTCCCAAATTTTTCTCAAATTTCAAAAAATTTCCAATTTCCAAATAGGGTCCAGAAAAAACAAGACAGAATTTTTGCACTAAAGTAACTTTCCTCTGTTTATTACTCGGTCCCCCGGCCCCTGTTACATTTCTTTTGCTTTCCCCTTTGGGGTTTTTTTTCTCACAAAAAAAAGAAGATTTATGTTATGCGATACGCATTTGTGTAGAAAAGGCATAAAAATGGTATAAATAATATCAGGGCACTTTTTGAAAGAATATTACACTTACCAGTTGACGTTTTATTGGACGTGTGGCATGATTTGTTTACCTTTGAACTTTGGCAAAAATCAAACTTTCTGCTACTTTGAGCTCAATTCCAAGGTACTTTTCATTGTGAAATCAATCAAAATCATCTAAATTTTCCATACTATGTCTTCCATTTATAAATGAGACCAGGAAAACTAAATAGAACCATAAATAGCATTCAAAAATACACTGCAAAGTCGCTGTTTTAAACCAAAAACACTGTTGGAGTTTTTTTTTCCATTATGCACTGTGCTGCAGGTTTTTTTTTTATACCGCGCACACTGACCACGTAGACCCATTCTTTCATATAAGGCCTACCAGCTTTCACTAGATTTGAAGGTGCTAAAATTTATGCGTACTAGTATGGCACCAACCCTGGCGTGCAAGCCGTACTAGTACGGCACCAACCCTGAAAGGGTTAATAAATTTTTCCTATATGTTGCATAAGTTTCTCAATCTTCAACTTGTCGGTTTTTCAAACCATTTATCACAAGGCTTATATTGTAATAATGATATAAAATTACTGTATAATCTAAGTACTTGTGTTTTTTTGGGGATATGAAAGTGTAAGGCAAAAAGTTAGTAGTCTACATATTAGAGAAAGCTGGTTAGGTAATCTTATTGTTTGTAGTCCATATATGAATGTCTTAAGACTTATTAGAAAGTGCTGTACAGGCAGGTTTATCAACAATGATGTCAACTGTATTATGAGAGAACAACATCTGGGCCATGGCAAAACATCCAACTGAATGAGGAGTTGGGCATGATTAAGTATGTTCTCTCTGAAAAGACTGGAACACTGACCTGCAACATCATGGAGTTCAAGCGGTGTACCATAGGTGGAACTGTATACAGCATGGATGATGGGAGGTAGGAACTTCTCACTATGTTGATAACCAACATGCAGTTAATTATTGACTGTTGACTACTAACCTGTGATTCATGTCAATATATTTTTTCCTTTTACTGCACTTCTTTATTGATTTACTTTAGTATCACTTTCATACATTTCTTCAGTTACACTCACTTTTATTTTTTTAACCATTTTGGCAGTCTTCCACAAAGTTAGATTTGGGCCCCTTAACCCTTAACTATCCACACGTAGCTCAAAATTCATTGGGGGGGGGGGCTCCAAACGTAGATCAACGTTTTATTTTTTATTCCTTCAAATTTTGGTGCAAAAGGCTTGAGTTGCCTAGACATGAAAGAATGGGTCGTGCACTCAGTGTGCGCAGTGTGAAAAAAAATTGGGACCACTTAGTACCTTGTGGGAACACCAGTTCAATTGAGCGGGCCCGCTAGAGCAAATAGCGTGGCAAACACCAGGGATTCACTGATGTCATTTTCATATTAACACTCACATTTTAAAAGGAAAGGAAAATTAGGTTAGATAAATACATGAGTGGGTGTGGGTAGGTGTGAGTTAGATATGATAGCTTGTGCTACTAGGTCAGACACCATACTCCTTCCTTCAAATGGATGTGACCTGACTTGGTGGGTCATTGGTCTAAGCAGGGGGGGAGGACATGGACCTGCCCTGCATGGGCCAGTAGGCCTGCTGCAATGTTTTCCCTTTTTTCTTATGTTCTAATGTATTTGGCTGGCTGGCTGGCTGGCTTTGGCTGTCTCTGCCTATATCTCTCTCACAAAGTGCTCATAAGTACAGTTATTATACATATGTAAATTACTTAGGGGAACCCATAATTCCAAGCCAAGTGCTATACAGTGTTTGTAGATACAAGGCATAAAATAAACATGGGCCACACACAGAAGACAGAAAGACAGATAAGCTGAACTAGACAGATAAGCAGAGCTAGGCAGAGACAGATACAGACCACTTATACAGATAGACAGACCCGATGTACAGATAGACAGACAGATAAAAGGGAGAAGACAACTGAAGCAAAA